AACAGTCGCGCTATAATTCTCAACGAATTTCTCACGTGCTTAACAATATTCTCTCTGACTGCAGTTCAATTACGCATTACACTGTTGTCGCTTCGTGGCCGGTCTTATATATATATAAGACTAACACATATTTAGTAAATGCTAGGGCATTCTTGAAGGAACAGGATATTTTTAGAAAAGGGGTGGCGTGATACTAGTCACGTGACCTCGCTGACGCAACAATATAATTGTTTACTCCCTGTTGCAGCTCCTCCACAAATTTTCGATTATACTGTAATGTTGTTTCAGCTCCCCTTCACCTATTGTTCCGTATATCTAAAAGGGTGGGGGTTTTTTAGCGATTTTTTTAGCTGTGAGGTTAGGCCCCTTTGCTCACTATCACTTTAACCAATAATTTAATAAAAAATATTTACTACCAACTTCATGACTGTATGGAATGTTAAATCAGTTAATGACATCTGATAAAAAAAAACGGTGGATATTGGCCTCTAAACAAAAATATCTAGATATCTTAGCAGTCCATACTTAAAATATATTATGCAAATATGAACCATGAAAAAAATCACCAAAATCTATGTATCAGTCAGTGCTAGTTTTCCAGAAAGGGTTGGTATGTGAAACAAAACATAGATTCCATTTTGATGATCCAATCTTCGATCGTGCCAAAATTATGAACCCTATGAATGCTCAAAATTCATAGCCAAGAAAGTTAACTAGCATTTTGAAAAAGCTTGCTCTTCCAGACTGGTAAACTTGTGAGACTGGTAAACTTGTGAGACTGGTAAAGTGTGGAAGTTCAAAATCTAATTGAACTTAGATGTGGATACTTCTGTTGAATACTGGCAATATATCCTCTCTCTTTACACTTTCCTACTGATACTTTCTTTGAAGTTAATCACAAAGCTACACAATGTAAGTCTGCAGACATACTTCTGTGCCACTGGTGGACTCCTACTGGTACATTGCAATTCACCAGCTTACTGAACCTAATAAATATGTTTCCTTTCCCATTCTTGAACATTGTGGAAGGGTATTTCTTCAGCATTATGATGTACCCCAGTGGGACAGCGGTAAGTTCACGGACTTACGATGCTAAACTCTGGAATTTGATTCCCCGCGGTGGACACAACAGATAGCTCAATGTTGCTTTGCTATAAAACAAACACACAAGTATTGGAAAAAAAAGTAAAAGCAAATAAGTAAAACAGATTAGTAGTGTCAACATTAAAATCAACCATTTAGTGTCGTTATGATTTCAAAAGAAAAAAGTATCAGCACATGCTCTTGAGTGGATAATCATGTGAAGGACAGGTTCAAACACATAAAAGCTGATACCACTGTTATTGATTTACACAGAACGTTATACCTTTGTGTTCTGAAAGTAAATAAAACTCTTTGATATGTGTTATTTGTTTATTTGTAGTCGCATTTTTTACGGTCAAACAAGCTTTGATAGAAACTTTGATTTAGTTTAAAGTAAAAGTTGAGATTTTGCGCACACGAGATTATTGTTGCTATTAATAATAAACACGAATTACTTTGCTGTTGTCTATTTAGTTAGCTGTTTTGTGCATGTGCTTTATAATCCTATAAAGAATATCTCGTTTTATTTATTTTTTAAAAAATAGTTTCAATACCTTAAGAGTTGATTTTTCGGGACTTTTGCGCATAGTGCTAGGGTTTCAAAATATATCGAGTGGAAATAGATTAACTCGCGTTTTTTGCTATTGACAGAACAGGCATGTTAACATAGGTCTAGACGTAGACTAAACAAGAGCAAATTCATTAAGGGTTAATTTTAATTATATTTCTAGACCATTGGTTACAGCTTTTGATTAACAATAGTATATTGGTTTCCAAAACATTCTAGAACATCGTTAATAGTTATGGACGATGAAGCAGAAACGTATAAGTTATGGAGGATAAGAAAAACTATCATGCAGGTAGCGTTGTTAGGGTTAGGTACAGTTATCTGGGACCAACAGTTCACTTGTTTTTAACACATTTCAACTTAAGGACAAGTTGGTCCAGTTAGGCCGTCCCATTCGTTTAAGTTAAAATAAAAATAAAACATTCAAAGGCAAATCCAGTCTTCATTGTTCAAATATTTATCAAGGCTTCTTTGATTTTTAAACTTAAATTTACTGCACCCCTATATTACAATTTACAACCCATTTCAAAAGCCAACCTCCCCGTTAGTGGTAGAAAAATAAAGCTGTCTCGGCTGAACATGACTCTTACCCTGCAAAAATTTTTATTTGTGTCCCTTAGCCCTACATTTCTGATCTTTAATTCTAAGTATGTGAAAATAAAGGTTAGAAGAGATTGATTGAAGTGTTCTAAGTTATAAAGGGGAATAAGATGTCATTTTTGTGTGTGTATTTAATGATTGAAAGTAGCAGGATTAGGAGAAAAGGTTTAAAAGGGAAGAAGTCATCTGCAAATTAGGCAGTTTTATTTTTCAAACGGGGCGGTCAGCTTTTGGAATAGCTTCAAACGTGGGAGACTTCCAGAAAGGTCTTGATGTATATTTGGAGGCTGGATATAGTCAGATGCCTGTTTGATGAAATGAATGGGGGGCAGGCATCAAAGGCCAGAAACTCATCCATCAAATGTTATATGTAGACCACCACCTCAAGGCCTTGGTGTCTTGACATAAATAATTGTTGATTAGCCAAATGAGGCATTATTCTTTTTTTTTTTTCAATAAATGTTTAGAGTTGAAATAGTGTATTGATTCAGCATGTTGTAGGGTATTTTTCTATGTTAGCACAGTCTTCAAATAACACATTAAAAATGAAAATTATGAAACTGTTTTTTCCAGGTAGACCTTTCTTTAGGGATGTAATATTTTATTTACTTTGTTATAACTAGAAAGTTATTATTTCATGATTTTCATTAGTTTTTAAAACATACGATAAAATACCAATGATTGATAAAACGTTAAGTATTGAAAAGAACTACATTTTTTTTCAGTTTACACAAGTTTTTATTGATTGTACATAGAAATATATTTATTCTATTCAGGTTTACTTAGCATCATCCTGTGAGATACAAGAACTGAAGCTAATATAATTTAATTTAAAAAAAAAGCAATCAAGTGAGAATTTATAACAGTAATTACCCATGAGCGTGTGACGAAGCAATTTCAAACTTAATAAAGTAATTTAATGTTGCATATCTATAAAACAATCTTTTTTTCTTTTTTTTTAGCTTCACAACAGGTGTAGCATTTACAAGTTAAGCCGTTAATAGCCTTTTGCTTGAAATCAGAATACTTGAAGCTGAAAAATAACTTAATACTAAATGTAGTAGGGCTATGGTCAAAGAATAGTTTTAAATGTTTGAAGCGCCATCAGGTGGCATTTAAGCAGTTTTAGATTTTCCTCTGGTTAACAGAAACTGTTTGACAATCTTTTAATAGTAACCACATGTTAAATGTAACAAAGAAAATATGATCTGTTGACTTGTATGATGCCCATTACTTAAATAAAAGTTGTATTAAAATAAGCCCACCAAAATATTACATGTAACAGCTTCTTCCATGTATTGGAGTAGACCATAATGGCGTAACTCACAAGAGTATGTTTAGAGGCTAAATTGCTTCAGTTAAATGTACTGAATGCATAATGTGTAAGATGTAAGGAAAGTGTTGTGGTAGAATAAGTACAAAATATACACTAACACTGATAATCTTAATGTTGAAAAAGAAGCACCAGTCTAAACCTACACTCTCTCTCCTTTAAAGCATGTGTTTACATAATCATTAATATTGTTAAAAAAAATGTGAGTGATAATAATTGTCATGATCGAAGGTCTGTATTTATTATGTTTGTTAGTCAATCACTAATTATATGTTAGAAATACTGTGTCTATTAACCTGCATGGAAGAGTGACAATTAAATATGTTTTTTTTTTTTTGGTCAAGTCAGCTGCAGTATTTTTAATTGGCCACAATTAGATGATCTTGCAATGTGAGCTTACTGTATGTAACTATATGAGTATTGCATGTGACATCAAGTACACTTATGTAAATATAAATATTTAAATGACATGGGAATGTTTAATCGATACATGGATTACCTATAAAATAAAAGTAGTTTCAATCAAATATCAACTAGTAGTTATGGTGACATCATCAGTAAATTATGCAAATTAGTTCCATTGAAGGTTCAAAACTTCCTTCAGTAATGTGTTCCAAACCATCAAAGGTCAAATTCTGTCTTCTTCTCTAAATTAATAAGTTCTGAGCTTATGCTTTCTTAAAGCATTGGGTATATCTTTGTTTTTTAACATCCGAGTCTTTCTTTGAAATATTGAACATGAGTAATGTTTTAAGCTCGAAGTGTGTATCTAATCAAAACATTTTTTTTGCCTTACTTAGCTCTGTCATGATAGAGGATACCTTGTAACCCAGGATGAATTGGATCAAACTTTAGAGCAGTTTAAAATCCAGTTTGGTGATAAACCAAGGTTAGGCATGTGTCGGTTTAACACATATCAACATTACAACAAGTTTAACTAACATTATTGTAAGATTTGGTTATCTGATTTCTCTTTGTTTGTTTTATTACCATATAATTTAATTGGTTTACTGATAAGAATAAGAATTTTACTTATTAATGATTTTTTAAAGTGATGAGAAAAACCCAAATTTGATTCTTAAAATGCTGAAAATCATTTGTAATTGAAATATAATGAAATAACTTATGCTTTTGTATGTTATAATTTTTTAAATAATGATGTATTTAATGCATTCTTTCTTTTTAATTAGAGTTAAGCTAACACTGAAAGTAAGCCAGTTGGCAAAATGATAACATAATGATGAATCGTTCAAAGTTACCTCTCATTATCCTAAACAATGAGTATCGGACATCACTCGAGGTGAAGGTATCTTTTCACATCTATATAAGAACTGGGAACAGAATGTAGTTTTTTTTACATATAATTACTTTTCCTGATATTCGTTAGGATCTTATTTGAAAAGGTAAAGATTTCAAACAGGTAACTTATTCTAATACCAATTTTTTAAAACTTATATAAGTACTCTACAGACACATAGAGGACCTTTTGGTCTTTCAAGGCTATTCCTGCACACCCATCCACAAAAACCAAGTGACCATTTGGTTCATCAAGGCTGTCCCTGTACACCCATCCACAGACAAGTGATCTTTTAATCCTTCAGAGCTGTCCCTTCACACCCATCCACAAACAACAAGTGGTCTTCTGGTCCTTCAAGGCTGTCACTGCACACCTATCCACAGACAAGTGACCATTTGGTTCATCAAGGCTGTCCCTGCACACCCATCCACAATCAACTAGTGACCTTTTGGTCCTTCAGAGCTGTCCCTTCACACCCATCCACAATCAACTAGTGACCTTTGGGTCCTTCAGAGCTGTCCCTTCACACCCATCCACAATCAACTAGTGACCTTTTGGTCCTTCAGAGCTGTCCCTTCACACCCATTCACTATCAACAAGTGACCTTTTGGTCCTCCAAGGCAGTCTCTGCACACTCACACTTGGTAAAAAGTAAAAAGATAAACCCATCTTTTAGTTTTCTGGAAATTATCTGTTCACTTTTTAAACTCTTGTTAAGTACTGGCCACCATTACTGCCAACAAAAACATGTTGTACAAGCCAGTCAACTTGTTAGAAAATATGAAACAGCCTTAACGAAGTTTAACCTCTCCTCTCATCTTCAAAATACAGCAGAAAGAAACCAGAAGCCTTTATCCCATCAATCCCTGGATAACCTTCTAAACTTCAATAAAATCATCTCTTGGCCTTCCTTTCTTAAGACAAAATAAGAGATCTTAACTTATTTTCATAAGATAACTCAATCATCATCTTCTGAATCCACTCCAATAAGTCCATATCCGTTCTTAGATATGTAGACCAAAACTGCACACAGTATTCTAAGCGAAACCTAACTTATAATTTGAATAAATATAATTATGCCTTTTGACTTTTAATAAATACACCCCAAACTTCTATTATTTTAAATACATCCTTTATGTTTAATGTTATCGTCCAATTGTTCTTCACAAGATGTTTTTGATTTCCTAAATAATTTTTTTAATCTAAATCCATAGCTTTTCTATAATTCTGAAAATCTTTCATCCTATCTGTACATCTAAAACTTATGGCATATATCGCGGATTTTCTTCTTTACGTCTAGTGAGCCAGTTAGGTTTGATCTTCACCGTTATTATTTTCTTGTTTTTAGGAACGTGCTGTCTTGAATTAAATACATGTTACATTTAGTCCTATACTCCAGTGAAAAAAAAGTAATTCATAGTTCTAATTACAAACCATGGTAAACATTCCTTGTCTACTCTGTTCAGAAAACCAATTGTCCAAACAGAGTTTAACTAGAATAAAAATAATACTCATTATTTTAAACTCAAAGTTTCAACAGATTGATCCCACATTGGAATCATCTGTATTCTTCACTACCAAGGACCTCAGGCCCATTGACACATTTTAAACAAATAAGTTATAACCCATTAAAGTTATTCTGACTCCGAAACTTCCTCAACAAACACAAAACTGATCACTGAGATCTAATCAGTCCTAATCTCATACTCCAAAAAAGTTGTAACCTTTGTCACTCTAGTTGTCAGTTTGTTCCACAACTTGATTACTTGGAGACGTGTTTAGATACTATCATTGTTTTCACTCAGTAGGCAAACCCTTGAAGTTCCTGCACGTATTGTAAATAATCTTACATTTTTTAATTCATAAACACACAAGGAAGTTTGAGAACCATTGGAATAGCTGAACATAGAAGGGTGATACCAGGCTATTCAGTCTATTGATGTCATACAACCCCCCCCCTCCCAAAAAAAAAGAAAAAAAAGAGAGAAATAATATAAACTTATCGTTATCAATGGAAAAACTGTTTTAGAAATGGTAAATAAACTACGAAAAGAACTAGTGTTTCCATGGAAACACATTTTCTTTGGATAAGTTAAAGAAACTATAAAAAGTCTGATGTTTTAATGGAAACATTGTTTTAGAAAAGTTAAAGATATTAGTAAAAAAGCTGGTGTATTAATTCACACATAAAAAGGCCTGTGTATTAATTCACACATAAAAAGCTGGTGTATTAATTCACACATAAAAAAGCTGGTGTATTAATTCACACATAAATAAGCTGGTGTATTAATTCACACATAAAAAAAGCTGGTGTATTAATTCACACATAAAAAAGCTGGTGTATTAATTCACACATAAAAAACACATCTGGTCTATCTTACAAAATAACTAATATTTTGAGCATTTCTCAAACTGGAGTCTGAGATTCTACGAGTCATGTTCGAAATTTCATAAAAAGTATTAAAAGTTTAAAGTTAAATTTGTATCGATTAAAATATTTAATTTTGGAATACAGCCTTTCATATATATATGGATTTTTTTTTCAAAACACAAAACATAAATAGTTTGGTTTCACATTGGCCAGTTTATAGTATTTTGTAAATATAAATGAATTGATTACTGCATTTACATTACCAGTGTTTTGTTACTCCTCTCTAAACTTTATTTCAAGTATAAAGGTGAATTGATAATAATTTTACGTGTTGACATGGTAAAAAAAAGTTAATAATGTTAGTATTTTTTAATGTATTACTTACAGTGAACAGCATCCAGCTAGGAAAGACTTGGTGGTGTTGGTAGCACACAACGATGACCCAACAGGTAAGTTCCTACATCTTGAAGTTTGCCACATCTTCCTAACTCTTCAAGTTAGTAGTTTTATTATACCGGTGACATAGAGTACATCAGGTTATTTAATGGTTCGTGATGATAGAGATCAATAACTCCCCGTCGTGTACATCGCTTTAAGCTAGTAAACTACTATACAAGGTGTATCGAAAATCTGAATTTATCCCTCAAATACTTTACGAACCCCCGTGTGAAGGCAAAAGAGAATATGTTAAAACGTGTCAAACACATTACATCTGCCACAACCAGTGCCGACGAGGCCTTTTGTCAATGCCAAGGTTCATCAGGCTGGCTAGTAGAAGACAGAAATAGCAATGATACAATTATTATCAATTTTATTTAAGTCCTTTACGTACCAGATTCTTAGGTAATGATTAATAACACATCATCATTTATTTTAACACTATTTATTTATTATTTCTATTATTTTATTTAAGTTTACTAACATTCATGGTACTGATTTAACAGAAAAATTCTAACTGCAACTTGATTATTAACATGCACACAATGTTGCTAAGTTTTATAACCATACTTTGTACTTGTAAGTTGTTTTGTTTTTCACCTTTTATGTTACACTATATCGTTCAGCTTCAGTAACTTGATTTTAAAATTCCATAACTGAAAAATCACCGTCCAAGTTTACAATGATTAAAGTACATTGTGATACAGAATATGAGATTTTACGAGGGATTACAGCCAAAAATGTCATTAATAGTGAAAGTACGGGGGATTACAGCCAAAAAATGTCATTAATAGTGAAAGTACGGGGATTACAGCCAAAAAATGTCATTAATAGTGAAAATACAGGGGGATTACAGCCAAAAAATGTCATTAGTAGTGAAAGTACGATTAGAATGTACTGTTTTCATCATTTGGGTACTTTCACTATTAATGACATTTTTTGGCTGTAATCCCTTGTCTTATGTTTCTACTTACAAAGGTATACTTAATTAGACATAATGATTTCCAGGTTAATTTTTAGTTTTGCTCTAAGTACATGGCTTACTGTGATCAGAAGTTATTATATACCATATCGTACTTTTGTTAAGTTGGAATAATACAAGGTACTCTTCCACCAGGTATAATTTTTCAGGACTATAAGGCTTACAGGATCATCATATGTGTTTTTGTACTTGTAAATCCATATTTTGATGAAATATTTCAAACACTATTAAAATGTTGTTGTTGTTTTTTCTACAATAGATCAGATGTTTGTATTTTTTCCCGAGGAACCAAAGATAGGAATCAAGACCATCAAAACCTACTGCCAGAGAATGCAAGAGGAGAATATTTCCAGAGCAATAATTGTGGTTCAACAGGGTATGACACCTTCTGCCAAACAGGTAGTTATTGTCTTCACACAGATAGTTGCTGTAGTATCTAATATAATCTACCAGAAATCAAATTCTGATCTTAGAAACGTTTTGGAACAACAATATATGTAGTTCAAGATTTTATTGTGTTATACGTACATATAAGGTGGGCCTCGACAAATCCCAGGCAACTAAACATTTCATCATGGTGCCTAGTATTTTCTTCCATTTTATTTGTGTGTAGGGATGTTCTGTATAGAACTATTTTCACGTTCTTTGGGTGTAAAATCTACCTTTGTTTCTATGATTTTAACGGCAGGTTCAGTACTTCTTCATGTTTTAAAAGAATGAAATGCTGCGGATGCACAAAATGTTACTAATTTTGTGTCATTTTCTCGTTCTTAATTCAAACAGTAAATATAATCACTGCGATGTTGTTTTGGTGTGCCTAATCAAACTTCACTACTGTTTGTACCAGGAAATGGGGGCTATATTTATTTACTTTCACAGCAACGAGTGCATGCTATCAACAACCACTTGATAGTATTGCCTGAACTAACTGCCTTTGGTCCAATCTGAATCTAAAAACACAAATTAGTTCGCATTCATTGCAAGAATCCACCTAAGTTATAGGTATTTAATCTACTATTTTAATAATTGCACGTATTGAAGTTTAACTTTAATATATGTTATATGATAAAGTTTAAAAATGAACCCTTTGTTTTTTAGTGTAAAACTGTACGTCTCGTACCATGACCACACAACCGACTCAAAATATATTCCATAACTTTTCTACGTCAGACCTGGCTCCTAGATCTGAAAATATTTGTCAAGGCCTGATATAACTTAGTAACTATTCCACCAGAGAGAGAGTATTATATTGATCACATTTACAATCTAGTGATGATTGTCATTAATTTGTAATTTTATAAATTCCACGTGATTTGTATCAATAATCCTTATTTTTTGGATTTGGAACTTGCTACATAAGAAAATTTCCCAGTGATATTTGTGTTTAATTATGCTTTTGACATCTACAGTTGTTTTCCTTTTCAACTGACAGTATCTAAGTATTTTTAGAAACCCACAATTGAAAAAAAAAAAAATATGCAGTCCTTCATATTTGAAAATAGTATGGTGAATGATTTTAATCATTCAATGAAAAAAATTTTTTTTCAGGTCCATGTATCATAATATAGTGAATAAAACAAATAATAAACTCGAAAACAACCTTCATTTATTTAACTTTTTTTTTGTGTCACGCAGTATTTAGTTCTTCTTCAAACACCTTTAAAATGCACCTTTGATTATAAACAAAAATGGATATGATTGAATTTATTTTTTCTTTTATAATTGAATAAAAATATTGGCAGGTAATCAATGATGTTGGATGAGGATGCATAAGGATAGGTTACTCCACCACCAAAGGCAGCACATTCGTGAAATTAAGGGAGCAGAGGCTACACACTTGCCCTATTTATTGTAAGCTAGGAAATTATTGTGCCTCTTTTTTTTTTTTAGTATAGCGCCCAAACCTGAAAAATTGTCCTATAAAACAGTTTGACATGAGGTTAATCAGAGTTTATCCACTGTCATTTTGAGCATTGGAAAAAGTAGTCAAAATCAGGTGGGAAGTTATTAATGACACAAAAACTTTGTGAAGGAAGACCTTGGACTAACTAATTGAATGACGAGTAAAGCCATGCATAATTTAAATCCAGTCAATTCGACAACGATTCATGCTATTCATGTTCATTCCCACTTTCAAAACATGGACAACCGTACACTTGTACCGTTATCACCATTGTTTTACACGATTGGCAATTCATAAAATAGACTGGATTGATGTGAGCTCAACAACACCTGTGTCGTGGGTCTTCAGTGCTGCAGTAGTATACAGCTGTGTTAGTCACAATATGAAAATAACACTCATCATGTGTTCTAAAATAAGCATAGTTGTGTGCATGAATTTAAAAAGGGTTTGTTTTTTTTATGCAAGGGATAATGACAAATTTACGTGAGCAATTAACAACACACCTAAAGCAAAATTTATGTGCATCATCTTGCACAAGTGCGATCTCGCACCTCAAATCTGAAAAACCGAATTTTTAATGTCAAACACACTACATCTGCCATATACAGTGCTGACGAGGCTTTTCACCCAATACCAGAGTAAGTCAAGCCAGCTGTGATATGACATTGTAATGTTTAGTTTTGATGAACAGTGACTGTTAGGGCGTGAACTAAATTAAACAAATGAATTGTAATTATTATCCTGAGGATGACGTAACGTCGAAACATGTAGACTGATCAACTTTTTGAAGGCCATAGATAGGCCTAAATAAAATGTTCTTTAATTGTGTACCACTTTAACATTGAATATTATTTATGATTTTAAGGTATGTACATTTTTCTTGATTTTAAACATTTCATTGCACTTGTAAATTTTGACATAAATCTTACTAATTGTTGTGAAGATATATTAAGAAAGCTCAGAGTTATAAGTATTGTTCAACCGTGGATCATTCTCCATACAAGAAGTTAGGCAAATGGGTTAACACCAATTATTTGTTATTATTTTTTTTCTATCATGCTTTTCTACTTAAGAGCTCAAACTAAGATTTGTAAAGGTTTTAAGCATGGAATCTTGGGCTTGTAGTAATTGTTTCTGTGGTGAAACGTTGTTGGATGTGTTGAAGTAAGAGTAGTAATATGAATGCGTATTAGTTGTATCAAAATCATTAAATTTTATTCAATTTACTTTTTGAATTAGTTTCTTAGTCATTCCAAAGGAGTTGAAGAAAAAACTATTATTTTCTCTGCATTAATTATTGCTTTTAATCATGACGCTTCTACTATGTGTAAAGGAGTTGAGTTCAAAACAAACTGGAGTCAACAAAATCGTGTGTACTAAAATTGCAAAGCTTAGAAGATAAGTTAACTAAATATTTTTTTGTTTTTATTTTGTGGAGCTCCTGGTGGATCAGTAAATAAGTTTGGATTCCAGTGGAAAGGGCACAGATAGCCCATTGTGTAGCCTTGTTGAGTATTAAGTTATCTAATACTAGACAATAAGGTTGTTTATATTAGACAAAGGGGGGTTATCGGGAAGTCCCAGGAGGTGATGGTTTAGAGGGAAAGCTGTGAATACAATAAGGTTGTTTATATTAGACAAAGGGGTGTTATCGGGAAGTCCCAGGAGGTGATGGTTTAGAGGGAAAGCTGTGAATAAGTTATTCATATATCTCTATTTTTCCAAGTCATTGTTATGCTGCTATAGAGTATTTTTTATAAGTCAGAACAACCTTGTTTGCATGTTATTTTTGTAAAGTACATAGAGGTCTTTATGATACAGAGAGATCATTGCATCACGTTTTTCTTCTCAAAAGCATGTTTAAAGTCATAATTTTTAATGCCAAAAGCCATTTTAACAATAAATCTACATTGATTTTGTATTAATAAAACAAAGTAGAAAACATCATTATGCTACTTAGTACAAGACATAGTATGAAACAGAGATGTGGTCGATGGAAATAGACCAAACACAGTCTGTTACATGAATTTTAATTAGTTCTTATTATTGCTGTTATAAGTTATTATTTTCTTATCATACTATGAAATCATAAGTTACTTAAGGTTTTACAATAATGTTCATACTGCTCTAAATTAAGAAAGTAATTATAAATCCATAATAAAAGCAAACGTGTGGTAGTGGTTGTAATCATTACACATCAATCCATAATGGAACCAAACAGATGGTAATGGTTGTAATCATTACACACCAATCCATAATGGAACCAAACAGATGGTAATGGTTGTAATCATTACACATCAATTCATATTGAAACCAAACAGATGGTAATGGTT